AAGAAAGAAAGAAAGAAAGAAAGAAAGAAAGAAAGAAAGAAAGAAAGAAAGAAAGAAAGAAAGAAAGAAAGAAAGAAAGAAATTAAAATTACGGTGGGATTGAACGTTTCGTTTATTTTATTAACAATCACGTGATACATTGATGGAGCGCATGTGGTGGTGGGGGGTTCGGACCAAGCTGGTAATGAGCGGGTTGTGTGCGCATTGTGTGTGTCTGTGTGTAAAGCCAGTGTTGTCTGCAGACAGTGGTGAAGAGGAGAAGGTAGTAGGTCAACATTACCTCAGGCTCTTAGACATAAAACAACTTTAAAGCTGCTGAGTTTTTGATTTTAAAAAACTGAGATTTTTGTCTGTTTTCATGATGCAAATGAGAACATTTTATGTCATTTACAGACAATCAGTACAAGGTGACAACATTAGTGTGTTGAAAGTGAACTTATCTTATGATTTTCACAGTCTTATCTTGACATTTCTCCTACAATACTCTTGAACATGAAATCCGAGGCAGTGATTGGTTCATGTCGGGGTTTTTTCTAACGACGTCATCCAGGATCAGCTTTGCGGCACAGCCAGGTGTCGCAAAGCAGCTCTAAGACTGACACTTAAGAATTACTCCTACACTTCACTTAAAGTAAGACTGACACTTAAGAATTACTCCTACACTTCACTTAAAGTGAGACTGAGACGCTTGATAACTGACTTTTACTCTCAGCTTTTAACTAAGAATTATTTTACACTTAAGTCCACTCTTAGCAGCATGCTTAAGAGTAATTCTAAGAAGTTTTATAAATACAGGCCCTGACAAACAATTGTTTAGGTTCGACTGTTAAACAAATGTTGCAGTGTGGTAGACAGTGTGGAATATTTACTTATCAGCATTTGCAGTCACACTGAACTTAAAAACACTTCTAAATCATGTCATTTCATTCTGAATGGCAGTTTGATACAAACTGATGCTATCCCGAGATGTTGAATACAAATTATAAAAATGTTAGAATGATCTCACCGAGCTTTTCAGCATCACTTATGTGTGACAGAAACTGAAGAATTCCAATCTTTTGAAGAAAGAGATCAGTTTTCTCCACAGGCTGATCAAGGATACCTGACAGGAAAAGAATGTTCAGAAAAGTCACGTAAATGCGTCAGCTGAGGACCACTTTTCCTACAACACAGCTTTGCCTAGATGAGCTGAAATCACTTAAAATAAACAACCCAACAGGGTTGTTAGGTTCACTTCTACAGTTTACTACGAAGCTGAAGTTAGCTTCTGATTCCAGCTTCCGATTCGGGAAATGACTAAAGGGATATTACAACTAATTTTTCACTACCTTGCGCTTGTTTAACCTGCTCTAGCTCAAAAACTACAACACCTACACTCTTCAAATCTGGACTAGATTATTCTACACTAATAGAAGAATAATAAAAACTAAGTTTGAGCTTTGGGAAACCTTTGTCTGATTTGTGAAAAATCAATAAAGTTTGTTTTTCATCATTTTTTAGGCAACTGGACCACACTAGACCTGGTCCAGCTCAAAAACCACAACACCTGGACTCTTGGGCTGGACCAGGTCTAGTGTGGTTCAGTTGCCTGAAAAATGATGAAAAACAAACTTTATTGATGTTTCACAAATCAGACAAAGGTTTCCCAAAGCTCAAACTTAGTTTTTATTACTCTTCTATTAGTGTAGAATAATCTAGTCCAGATTTGAAGAGTGTAGGTGTTGTAGTTTTTGAGCTGGACCAGGTCTAGTGTGGTCCAGTTGCCTAAAAAATGATGATAAAC